GGATCAGCGACCCAGGACACTAGCGCAACAACGGGTCGTCAGTCCCCTCCCGCCTCCATCCCGGCCGATGGACCTGCCACTCGGACTCGCTCCAAACTCAAAACGATTTTCATGACCCCCGCCCACGAACTCTCGTCCCAACGCGCCGCCACTCACCTTGCCATCATGTATAGTGGGCGGTTGGGGCGTGCGTTCATCCTGCATATGTGTTTATACATTGTTGTTCTGCATCGGTGGCGTGGAGTTTTTTTTATATACGCGTGACCACAGGAGGGGGAGAGGCGCTTTCTTCTCATATTTCTTGTTTTGTCATCCATTTTGTCATTGACACGCATACACTCATTCTGATGGTTAACAAATAATTTATTGTACCATTGTATTTTTTGACAGCCGGGTTGGTTGGAGGCTACGTAGAGGGGGGTAATGTAGTGCCATAAGAGGGGAGGGGCTGCTGGGGGCTCTGGGACCCTAGACAGATAAGCCCTCGGCTTATCTGTCTAGGGTCTAGCTGTGTGTGCTCTGTGGGATATCTGGGGGCGCACACAACCCCACCCCTCGTTGGGGACGAGGCATAAAAGGGCAGCTCCCTGGCCGATCGGGGACAGTCGCAGCTCAAGACCCAAGACCTGCCAGCCAGCCAGCTTAGGAACCTGGACCCCCTCGTCCCGCTTGTCCTTGTAAGGGCCGGGACGCTGTGAGGGCCAGTGGTGGACTCTGGGACTCCCGGCTCTACGTCCTTGTAAGGGTGAGTTCTGAGGAAGCCAGAGTCCAGACCCGCACCTTGGCTGGGTCGGGTCAGGTAGCCTCCCCTAGGGTAATTGTAGCTGGAGGACCCCAGAGCGTAGCCAGAGTAGTGTATCTAGGCTGTGTACCTAGGCTGTGTACCTCGGCTGTAACAGAGTATCAGGACTGTTGGAGTGTTGTATTGTAATAAAGAAGTTACCTCTACACGTGTCTCCGGAACCCATTACACCTGGATCCACTCGTCTGGATCCACTCGCCTGGATCCACTCGCCTGGATCCACTCGCCTGGATCCACTCGCCTGGATCCACTCGCTGTCCCATGTGCTCTCTGCTCCAGCCGACAAAGGCGCACAGCTGATGCTCCCCCCCGGCCAAGTCAACCCCCCCCTTGGCTCAGTGGAAACTCGCCCTCTGCCCCACCTCCACACGGCCCCCCACAATCCGTAAACTCCCTCCCTAGCCCCCCACAATCCGTAAACTCCCTCCCGCGCCCCCACAATCTGTAAATTCCCTCCCTAGCCCCCCACAATCCGTTAACTCCCTTCCTAGCCCCCCACAATCCGTAAACCTCCCTCCCGAGCCCCCACAATCCGTAAACTCCCTCCCGAGCCCCCCACAATCCGTAAACTCCCTCCCGAGCCCCCCACAATCCGTAAACTCCCTCCCGAGCCCCCCACCCACGGTCTGTGCTGTCAACTCCTCGCCCCCCCGCCTCTTTCTCTCGCCTGTGACACCGACCCGCGTCTTCCCCGTTGAAGGTTCACGGACATCGCGAACAAGAATGTGCATGCGCCTCCCCCCCGGCGCGCTCCCTCCGTTGTCCTGCGTGGGTGTAATGGGGGCAGAAGTGGTGCGAAGCGGTGACGAGGCACGGCAGGCGTCCTCTGGTCTAACACCGTTTTGAGACGAGGCTCAACAGAAAGCTGTCTCTGGTGTGGACCAATCAGTTTCAAGGACAATGATTACATTATCAGAGTGTGTTTTTCGTTTGCACCATAATGCTTGTGGTCAGATGCAGACGTGATTCCTTGTAAAAAGGTTTCAGTTTGGTGTTTTAACATCTTAACACAGCTGTTATCAAATGAATGGTGTTTCAGCGACAAGTAAACAAAGCCATCCTTTGTTTGTCTTTGAGGAATTCGTCGGAAGGGGGAAAAGAAAATCTAAGAATATCACCGCTTATTATGATGATCATCATCGTCATTGTTGTTGTTGTCGTCGTTTTATAATTATCGCATTACTCCTGCGACCACTCCGGGGTCCCATCAGGCAAAAAAAAATCCGGCCAACCACAAATTATAAAAAATTTTAAACCGCCCCAACTGCAAATAAATCACTAATAAGAAACGCCCGTTGCTATTAAATACATTAAAATCCGCCCAACCACAAATTATAAAAAATAAAATTAGAATATAAAACCGCCCAACCACAAATAATTCAAAAATTAAATATATAAATCGCCCAACCACAAATATATATATTTTCATAAAATTCGCCCAACCACAAAAAAGAAAAAAATTAATAAAAAATTCGCTCAACCACAAATAATAAATAATAAAATAAGATGTAAAACCACCCAAATAAAAAAGCCGGCTGGCTTGCAACGTTCGAGCAGAACGCAGTGGCGCGTGCATCGATCTGACGTGGGCAGCTGAACAAATCACCGTCAGCGGCGATATCGGTTGCAACACAGGTGGGGAGGCAAGGCAAGGCAGGGCAGGCAGGCAGGGCAGGTGGGACAACGTTTACACACCGAACCGGGACCTCATTTGAGGCTGAGTCAACCGAGGGGAGAGGCCGAGGACGGGGATGGTAGCGCTAACCACTGCGCCACCGCCCCCCACCACACATCGCAGACACACAAAAGACAAAGATCCCCCATGTAGCCTTAACAGACTGCAGGGGCAAGTGCCGTTAGCGAGCAGCACCTATGAAGGCCGACACTGCACACGAGGGGGTGGGTGGCCAGCACCACGCCCGGCCGCCTTTGTCTCCCCAGTGGCGATGTTTACTGCACACCGCACCGGGTACTCATTTGAGGCTGAGTTGACCTAGGGGAGGCCCGGGACCGGTTCAGATGATCGTCACTGGTGTTGGCTGGGAGCGGGAATCGAACTCGGGTCGCCGGGTTCGTAGCGCAGCGTAGCGCTAACCGCTGCACCACCGCTCCCCTACACACGCATACACAGTGACACACACACATACGTACACAACAACAACCCTCATTCTCCACTAAGTGGCGGTGACGTCACCACAGCGCTTGTGCCAGGCTAGGTGCACGTTGAGGCCACGTGAAGTGTCGAACGCCCGCTGGCAGGAGGTCACGGGGCAGACCCAGCAGGTGCCACGGGTCGACTGACTGAGATGACCGAGATGACTGGCTGATGCACCACCTGTGCCCCCTACTGTACCAACTTGCTGTGCTTTAACCACCCGGCGCTCCGCTTGTTGTTGTGAGCGTCGCTCCTCTGCCCTCCGTTGTTGCTGGAGGGCGTGGGGGTAGGGGGGGATTTGCCCTCCTCGTGCGCGTCACCTCCAAGCGCCTCTCACATCGGGAAGAATACCGAGGGGGGGTGGGGGAGCGCGCTCCACCCCCCCCCCCCGGGGTATGACAGCGAGAGCGTGAGGCAAGGCTGGAGATGACGGCTGTCAGGTCGCGACGCACGGCCTCTCGTCACCGCGAGATGTTCCAACCGGCTCACCTCGTGTCGCAACCCTCGCGGACGCAGCGATGCAGAACAACAGAAATAACGCGCGCGCGCGTGTGGGTTTTTAGTTTGTTTGTTGGTAATGAGACGCCGCTGCTGTCTCCCGTGTTGTTGTTGCTGTTGTTGTTGTTGTTGTTTTTGCTGTTGTTGTTTTTGCTATTGTTGTTTTTCCGCGGCGGTCGTGGTGCCGTTTGGGGGCAAACAGGAGCCGGTTAGGCCACGTGGTTCATTCGCTCGCCTCTTCTTTGTTGTTGTTTGTTGTTGTTTGTCCCCCCATACCCACACCACACTACTCTTTGCGATTTACGTCACGGGGATCTGTGCAGATATGTCTGCAGCGATAGCCAGGCTGGGAGCTGAGATGGTTCTCTCTTGAAAGAGACAGAGAGAGAGAGGCGATCTGTTCACGTGTTGTTTCTATTTCACACGTTCTCTGGCTCTGTCTCTCGCTCGCTCAGCCATTGGGTGTTGCACAGTCGCAGCGGAACGAATTGGGGGGGGGGGGGTCGAGTGATCACAAAGCCACCGCCGCAACTTTGGTGGCCGTGCGGGGCCGAACTCAATAAGCGGCTCACGCCAGCAGCGGCAAGGCCGCAGTAGCCACGCCGCGGCGAAGACGCAAACAAGCCACACGCTCGGACGATATTCGCATCGGCCTTGAAACTGATCGGCCTGCACCAGAGGCGGCAGCCTTCTTCATGGCCAAGTCTCACCAACCGGTGTCGGGCCAGAGAGCAGCGCCAACAGGCGACCAGTGCAAGGACAATGCCACACGGATCAGAGCATTCATAGTTCGGGGTGAGCAGCGATGTCATGCCAGTATGAAAGTATGGCAAAAAATATAGGTTTGACCCTCTCTGGAAATGAAACGGGTGATAAGATGTGTTTCCTTGAAATAATGTATCCATTTGGTGTTTGAACATGGTAGAAAGGGTAAAAACCGACCCCTTATTTGTCATACTTTGACACTGGCAAAATGTCCCCATGGAATCTGAAACGTTCCCAAATGCCGCCACCGCCACCACCGCCACCACCAAACCCCGTTCACTTCACCAAAAGCTGCACCGACCGGCATTGGTGAAGTATGGTCAAACGAGTCAACGGATGGCATCGGTCGTTCGTAGCGAACGCCTAAAGCCACGGGGGGTGGTGGTGGTGGGGTGGATTTGATAACGCGTCTCCGCCAGCGTATTTCATCATCAAGCGAACGCGCGCGCGCACACGGCGAGAGAGATGGAGGTGGGTTCACTGCCAAATCACGTCCTTCTGCATTCCTCTCCGCGGTTGACGATGGCAGTCGGGGGAGGAGTGGGGGTAGGGCCACGTGTAACGCCAGGCACAAGGTGGGGGAGAGTGGGGGGGGGGGGTCTGGGGGCAATTCCGTCTGGTGTTTACCACCCACGTCAGCGACCCAGGTAAACTTTATGACACGCGCAGCGATGGGGGAGGAGGAACGAGTTCGGGGACATGCCCCATGAGATAGAAAAAAATTCCCAGATAAATAAATAAATGCAGCGACCAAAAGGGCTCGCAGATATATAAGGAGGCCGGCTGACCATGGGTGCTACACAAACTAGGAGCAGAGTCGACCTGTGCAGGACCACATCGCTCTCGAACAGCTACGCCTGGAACACAAACAACGTCTCGCACAATGAAGCTCAACTCTGTAAGTACCATCACCAGCGCCAGCACCACCATCACTAGCACCACCATCACCAGCACCATCACCACCGCCACCCATCACCACCAGCACCATCATCACCACCACCAACATTAACACCATCATCAGCACCAGCACCATCAGCACCACCACCAGCACCATCATCACCACCACCAACATTAACACCATCATCAGCACCAGCACCATCAGCACCACCACCAGCACCATTATCACCAGCACCATCACCAGCACCACCCCCACCACCACCACCACCGACTGCTGCCCTGGGGACTGGCAGTGTGGGCCGCGGGGGGTTCCTGCTCGGGGCGTCGTGTTGGGTGCGCGGACTCGCTCGTCAGCACCGCCCGTGTCGGCAGCGCTCTCCGATCTCGTCGGGGAGCCAAGGCCGAGGGGAATTGTGGTTGGCGCCTCGGCCCACCGACGTGGCTTGCAAGTTAGCAGCAGCAGCAGTAATAATAATTGGAATTTATAAAGCAGAAAATCGGCCGTGCTCAAGGGGTGAATGCGGGAACAGTTAAACATCAACCGAGGAAAGAGAAGTGAGAAAGACGCGGCAACGCTGCCCCCAAAACGAAGGCAAAACGCTCCCCCCCCACCCCCAAACTCGCGGTGGGAACAAGCGATGGAAGTCCGATGCCTCGCATTCTCAACAACAAAAATAACAACAAACAGCTGCCCCCTCCCTGCCCGAGCCACAGCGTCTCGTCCAGCGGCTGCGAATTCGTTGAATTCCCCGAGCGAGCGGTTCGCTTTTCCGCGTCTGTCGTAACCCCTTCGGGGGGGGGGGGGGGTGAGCGCGAGGCTCGCGGGCCCAGCTGGGGCTGCTTTGCATGTGACGACTCACGGGCGGTCGCACTGCCCCGGGGCAGCCGTCGGACCCTTTGAAAGGGAGGGAGCCGGGCAGGGGGTGGGGGTGGTGGGCGGCTGGCGATGACGCGCGACATGCAAAGCGAGCGGTGACGTCACCGGGGGTATAAACACAGTGACGGCAACAACAAGACGAACCGCAGGCGGGGCAGGGCAGCGAGTCGTGAGAATGCGCCGGTCGATGACGATGATGTTGATGTCGTCGTGAGTCTTTAAAGTTTGCTTTGGCGCGACTAGCAATGTTATCGGCCGCCTCTACGCACGTTGCGTTGGGAGGTTTTTGTTTGCGGCTCGCTCGCTCGCTGCGCTTGCCGTACCCCGGCGGCCTGAGTTTGACTCTCGGCCACGGCCAACGTTCGGTGGCAAGCGATGCCCTGACCGGTGCCACGGGCCCGGCACTTCGCCAACCGGCGCGGTGAAGCTGACGACAGCTCCACGATAACCCCACTCTTCATCTCGACCACCATCACCACCTCGTGTACAAGTTCATAATTGTCTTTCAAGCCCCTCGGAATACGGCGCAAAATAAATCTACACGAGATAAGATGGTCATTGAATAAGCCAAGGGCGCTTACAAAATGGTGCAAACGATTCGGCCAACAACAACGAAAACCCCCCCACAAAACTCGACTTGACAAAGATAAGACTTTACTCGGGGGGGGGGAAGTGCGATCCTTGAAAATGCAACGGCGCGAACCCCGTGGAACAACGTGACGAGCGCCGTCGCCTCTTCTCCTTTCACAGGCGAAGCTGTCCCTGGGGTTGCCGCTGCTCCTGCTGCTGGTGCTCGTCGTAGGCGACCTCCCGCGGGCATCCGCGGCTCCGAAAGGGAGGCAGCGGGACGGCAAGCGCGGCGGTGCCAGGGAACGGCAGCAGCAGCAGTGCCTGGAGGACAACTCGCCGCTCGTCCTCAAGATGATGAGGGACCTGACGGAGGGCGGCACCGGCACGCAACGCCGTTCGGGGCGGCACGCTCTCCACGGAGGTCACCACCTCGATCCCGTGGCCATCGCCAATGAACTCGACCGCCTGGGGAGTGCGACTCCGCGGCGTCATGCTCGACACAGCGGCGGCCCGGCGCAGGGCTGCCCCGTCTTCAACCGGGGGGCGCCGGCACACCGCGACGCGAGCGGGCGTGCCGAGGACGTCTCCAGCCGCTCCATCTCGCCGTGGTCGTACAGGTGAGGCGAGCGTGGCCACGCGTGTGCACACAAGCCACGCGTGCGACAACAATAACGACGACAAACGCAAATAACGTTCGCGGTGTCGGCTCTCCGCCTCGACAACGGCGGTAAGACTAACGGCGACGTTTCTGCCTCTCCCCCTCCTCCTTCCCGCTGTGGCAGGATCGTGGAGAACCCGGACCTGCTGCCATCACGCTACGCCGAGGCCCATTGCCTCTGCGACGGGTGCCTGGACCCGCGGAGCGGCCTCGAAACGACCGAAGTCAACTCGCACCTCGTGGAGCAGACGGTGCGCTTCCTGCGCCGCACGCCGTGCCCGCAACGGCCCGGCACGTACACCTACGCGCACGTGTACCTGCGCGTGCCCGTGGCCTGCGTGTGTGTGCGGCCCGCCTACTGGGGCTAGCGGGCGGCTTGCTACAGCGCGTCGACGTCACGGCGGCGGCGGTGGCACCGCGTTACCGACGTCGCACTCGGTTGCACCGAGTCGTCGTTCGGTCGACGCCGGCTCCCGCGAGGCTAAGCGTGCCAGCGTCGCGTCGCAGCTCGGCACGCCACGGTAAATGCGCAACTTATTTAATGTAAGAGATTCATAATGTATTCGTTTCCTCCGGCAGTTGGATTGGCACGAGGCGCTCGTTATTTCACAACGTGTGCACCAAAATCTACTTGAAATTTCATGGCCGCATTGCGGCAAAAGCGCTCGGTGCTAGAATGCAGCTCCGCTGCTCACGCTGCTTTGCTTCCCGCTGCACCCTGGCAACTCCTGCGCGTTGGCTGCGACCAACCGCAATGGCCGGCTTAGCTACCTGCCAGCGATGACCACGACTGTGACCCTCCGTGGCGGGGCGCGTCGGTTAAATGACCGACGCGCGAACTTGCGCGATTATTTATTGGCGCTGTTTTATTTAACGTTAACGTATGTTGTCGATGTATTTATTGACCTATTTATTTTATTTATATGCCCGTGGAAAAAAGACGGTTTCGGTAAATTATTTGACGGTGATTCGGTGCGCGCGTTAATTTATGTATTTTATTTATATATTTTATATCAATCTATTGGACTAAGTGGGGAGGGGAATCGGCGTGCGTATTGCACAGGGGAAAGGCACGTAGACTCAACAACGCAAATAGCTCTTGGCTGCCAGGTCGACTTTGGCCTCGTTGGTTATCGGCAGCAAAGCTCCCTCCCTCTCTCGGCTTAAATGTCGAACCTTGCTCGGGAGTGCAGAGATGGAAGTGCCGGCGTGGGTTCAAAGAGCAGAAAAAAAATATTTCGGTCAAAGGCCACCAACGACGTTGAGTCGCAGACAACTAAAAAAAAACTAAACTTTTTATTTTATTCCACCAGGTATGACCCACTACTGAGCCATCTGGTTCCTTTTCAGAAGAGGCCTGGCCACAAATGATAGCTCAATGAAGTGGGCTTATCACCATCACGTGGAAATATATAGCGGCACAGATGCTCTAAATGAGTGACTTCGATTCCAAATGTGGAGGGGAAAACTGGAGGGGCCCGGAGAGAGACACCGCAAACTCCAGGGTCGGGATCGAACCCACGGCCTCATGCATACCAGGCGACGTAGCTAACATCTCCTGCCTATCGTGGCCACTCACGGTTGTTGCCGCCGTTAGCGCACTGCCAAATAGAGAGGGGAAAAATGCCGCTTAATCCCCGGTAACAAAATCGCTGAGTTGGCAGCACTCGCCGCGCAAGCGGGGGTTTGATTTGGGTTGCGCGGGGCGTCAAGGCCTCGTGTCAGCCACGAGGCTCGCGGTTGCCACGCGGCAACCAACGACGCCTCGCGGTTGCCACGCGGCAACCAACGACGCCTCGCGGTTGCCACGCGGCAACCAACGACGCCTCACGGTTGCCACGCGGCAACCAACGACGCCTCGCGGTTGCCACGCGGCAACCAACGACGCCTCGCGGTTGCCACGCGGCAACCAACGACGCCTCGCGGTTGCCACGCGGCAACCAACGACGCCTCGCGGTTGCCACGCGGCAACCAACGACGCCTCACGGTTGCCACGCGGCAACCAACGACGCCTCGCGGTTGCCACGCGGCAACCAACGACGCCTCGCGGTTGCCACGCGGCAACCAACGATGGCTCGCGGTTGCCACGCGGCAACCAACGATGGCTCGCGGTTGCCACGCGGCAACCAACGACGCCTCGCGGTTGCCACGCGGCAACCAACGACGCCTCGCGGTTGCCACGCGGCAACCAACGACGCCTCGCGGTTGCCACGCGGCAACCAACGATGGCTCGCGGTTGCCACGCGGCAACCAACGATGGCTCGCGGTTGCCACGCTCTGGACCGTGGGAGGGCGGCCCCGCGCTAAGTGGTGGGGGGAGGGGGGGGCAGCCCGGCGGTGGTTCCCACGTGACCGCTGGTGCTGATCGAGGAGGGGGGGGGGGGCATGGGGGGGGGGGGTGATGCGCGCGATTATTTGGCCACCCCGATGGGCGATCAGTACCGCCTGGAGCATCTCGGAGGTGCGTGTCGTAGAGTTTGGCTCCTTTCGGAGCTATGCCGCAGGGGTTGGGAAGAGTCCCAACCCCTGAGAGGTGAGACCTGAAATGCCTTTGGCATTTATTACAAAAATAATTGTATGGTAATATGTTACCGCATATATATGTACACACACACACACACACGAGTGTGTTCGGGAACCGCATCGTCCACGATTACGGGAGCTTGAAGTGGGCCGGCAGTTTCGTGTTCCGCAGTGGTGGCTTTCATAGGGTGCTGCTGCTCGCTACGAGCAGCACTTGCCCCCAGCAGTCTGTCAGAGGCCACACGGGGGAGCACTTCCCTTGCGTGGCTTCATCGACCAGAGCTCAAACTGCGGGCTCATTCAGTTGAGCTGTCGAGCCCTTATCCGGCGCCCTACCTTATTGCGGACCAAATCGCACCTGATTAGTCACCCCGTGCCCTTATAAACCATCTCGACGTTTATCCTACAAAGTCCCATCGCGAGGGAGAAACGCAAACAAATAGATGAACGTGGATTTATTTATTTTTGCTCGATTTCCCCCGCACAAGAATTCGGATAAACCGTGCGGGTTTGACAGCTTTGAATTCGGAAACGTTTAATCGTGGTCGATGCGGTTCACGTGACATCCTACTATTGCGGTATTGAGTATCTCTTCTTTGAAGTGAGGCTGTCATTTGTGTATTTTATATTAAAACTGCGTTAAAACGAGATTTTTCGTGTTTGTGGAACGCGGACAAACGCCCATGTGGGCGGGTCTACAGGAGAGCTCGTTGATTTTGTTGTTGTTGTAAGCTTGCTGAAGCTTTTCGCGCGGTAACTTATTATTCGATATGAAGCGAGAACGTGAGACGTCTTGGCGAGACCGGCCGTCGTGATTTTTTTTACACGTTTTAAAAAAGAATGTTAATAAAAAAAGAAAAAAACATACTTTTTGTTTACCCTCCCGATGTTTGGAGCTGCTGCTGCTGCTTGGAATGAGCGCGTCAGGATTCGGACCCACAGAGACACAGAAACACACACGGACGAAGATCCCCCACGCATAGCCTCAACGGACTGCTGAGCCAAGTGCTGTTAGCGAGTGGCAGCACCTATGGAGGCCGGCACGTCCATCCCGGCCGCCTTTGTCTCCCCGAGTGGTGATATTTACACGTACTCATTTGAGGCCGAGTCGACCTAGGGGAGGCCCATCGACCTGCCCAGATATTCGTCACCGGTGTTGGTGGCCGTGAGCGGACATTTGAAACTTGGGTCGCCGGGTAGCGTAGCGCGGCGCACGCTAACCGCTGTGCCACCACTCATCCCCCCCCCCCCCCCCCGACTCTCTCACGCCGACAGCCCCCGGACACAAATCGAGCGCGCGAGCGATCAGAAATGGGCGACGAGGGTCGAGGATGGATCGATTGATTTCCATCTCTCGATGGATCGATCGCTTTCCATCTCTCGATGTATCGATCACTTTCCATCTCTCGATGGATCGATCGCTTTCCCTTCTCTCGATGGATCGATCGCTTTCCATCTCTCGATGGATCGATCGCTTTCCATCTCTCGATGGATCGATCACTTTCCATCTCTTGAGGGATTGATCGCTTTTGATCGATTGCTTTCCATCTCTCGATGGATCGATCACTCTCCATCTCTCAATGGATTGATCACTTTCCATCTCTCGATGTATCGATCGCTCTCCATCTCTCAATGGATCGATCGCTTTTGATCGATCGCTTTCCATCTCTCTCTCTCTCGGTCAACACCTGAAGTATGGTCGCGCGCACCACGTGCTGTCTGACCATACTTCACCGCTAATGGGAGGATTTGGAAGCGTTGTTTAGAACGTCTGGTCCCGGTTGAAGGGAGCGGGGTTTTTTGGTTTTTGTTTGTGACGAGTCAGAGGAAAACAGAGAATCCAGATGGAGAATCCGCGCGTGTGCGCTCACAGAATCCGACGATCACAGACGACGCCGCAGACCCACAAGCTACGCTGCCACCCCCTGACCGACTCTCATGAGTTTCACGTTCGCCCCATCCCCCTCTCCCGAGTGATGCACCAACCCCTTGCGAGAGTTGGGCGTGCGAGAGGAAAATGGGTGGCTGGGGGACATAACAGGATCAGAATCTCTATTTTATCCCGGAGAAATCCGACGAGCCACCAAGCTCTTTGTCCACTGAAGTCCAATACCCACATCTCCACGAGTCGACAAGGATCCAACAACTGGGATGATGTCCGTGGAAGTTGCCCGCGATACTGTGAGGTGGTTGATTTAATGGGGCACCACGGTGGTGAGATGTTCACTCCCTCGCCTGGTATGCAGGAGGTCGTGGGTTAGATCCCGACCTTGACGCCTGCTGCTGTATATTTGGAGTCTGCGTGTCTCTCTCATCATCATCACGGTGGCAAGGAGATGTTGACTACCTCGCCCGGTATACAGGAGGTCGTGGGTTCGATTCCGACCCTGATGCCTGCTGTATATTTGAAGTCTGCGTGTCCCTCTCTCATCATCATCACGGTGGCTAGGAGATGTTAACTACCTCGCCTGGTGTGCAGGAGGTCCTGGGTTAGATCCCGACCCTGACGCCTGCTGTGTATTTGGACTCTGCGTGTCTCTCTCCCCGTGGTCGCGTGGATTTTTGTCTCCGAGTCCCTCCGGGTTTCCCCTCCACATTTAAAAACTCGCGTTCAGACGTATTTCGGTTGTTTTGCAGCTCTGAATGTTCAAATGATGGTGCCATTTTGTTGAGCTATCATTTGTGGCCAGGTCACTTCTGAACAATTCAGTTGATGCCTCAGTGGGCTTTGTCTGGTTAGGATGGGGATGGTTTAGTTGTTGTATTTATTTATGTTTGTGTGTGGTTTGTTTACCTTTATTGGACTTTGCACTCATATCGTGTTTGTGTCACTGTTTGTTGTTGTGACGCTCTTACCCCGTGCCCCTACTGGACATCTGTTGATTAAAAAGCTTCATAGCTCATCGGATTCCTCCTGCAGTCTGTAAATATTCTGATTCCGGTTCGCTCACTGAACCTGAAATCCCAAAACAGATCACCGGGTTCTGTCGGATCTTCCGGACCGACGCTTGAAACAACGGCGAAAGTTTTTTTGTTTTCAATCCACCCAGACCCTCCACCACGTCCCTGCCTCGTGTCCAGCACGGGGCGCTTCCGCCTCGCTCCGAGATGCTCGTCGCGACGTGGAAGAGAATAATAGACTGATCATTTCTTTGTCAGTGGGCAAACGTACAAAATCAGCAGGGGATCAAATACTTTTTTCCCTCACTGTACATATGTAGAACACGAAGAACCAGTGGCATTTACATCTACAGAAAGTGTAAAACCAGTGGCATCTACATCTACAGAACGTGAAGAACCAGTGGCATCTCCTTCTGCAGAACATGAAGAACCAGTGGCATCTACATCTGCAGAACGTGAAGGACGAGTGGCATCTACATCTGTAGAACTTGAAAAACCAGTGACATCTGTAGAACGTAAAGAACCAGTGGCATCTACATCTGTAGAACTTGAAGAACCAGTGGCATCTACATCTGCAGAATGTAAAGAACCAGCCGCATCTTAATCTGCTGAACGTGAAGAACCAGTGGCATTTACATCTGCAGAACGTGAAGAACCAGTGGCATCTACATCTACAGAACATGAAGAACCAGTGGCATCTAAATCTGCACAACGTGAAGAACCAGTGGCATCTACATCTGCAGAACATGAAGAACCAGTGGCATATAAATCTGCAGAACATGAAGAACCGAAGGCATCACATCTATCGGAGATTATCTATCTTTTAAAGCCATTCCCCGTGTTTTAGTGTACATGCCAAACAACGTGTTTGGCATCATCTTAGGAGCCATCCATAAATGACGTCACGCGATTGTGAACGATTTTTTACCCCCCCCCTCGTCAAACGGCGTCACAAAAAATCAACCCCCCCTCAAACATGACGTCACAAAGATCTGCCCCCCGCCAATATAAAAAATGCTTCAAATCGCTTTAAACTGTTGTCATTGTAGTGCGTATTTAATGTGGCGATGTACTCTGATGTTGTAGGAGAAAATATTTATTAAAAAGAATATTCAATTAAGTAGAACGTGTTGTCTATATTTATTTAAAGTTGCGCATTTTGATGTGACGTCACATTTCTCAACCCCCCCCTAGGTGTGTGACGTCATTTATAGATGGTCTTTTAGCAGCACTGTGCACTGTGATCCAGATGATCCGAATTGTGAATTCCCGGCCTCAGCTAACATTAGTGGAAATTGATATCTCAACCAGTTAGTAAACCCTCGCCCCCCCCCGCCACAGCCTTCACCAACTCGCAGTGACAAACGTGGTGAAGTATGGCCATACGTCACCCCATGACCAGAGAGGTGTTTAGGAGGGAATCCTCGACTTACGAAGTTACAGAGATACGACCAAACCTCTCTCAAAGATCAGTTGCAGAGTTGTAAGTTCAACCGCCGCCCAATAGATGGCGCTGATGTCATCTGCAGAACATGAAGACGCAGTGGCGTCTACATCTGTAGAACGTGAAGAACCAGTGGCATCTACATCTGCAGAACGCGAAGAACCAGTGGCATCTACATCTGCAGAACATGAAGAACCAGTGGCATCTACATCTATAGAACATGAATAACCAGTGGCATCTTCATCTGTAGAACTTGAAGAGCCAGTGGCATCTACATCTGCAGAACATGAAGAACCAGTGGCATCTACATCTACAGAACATGAAGAACCAGTTGCATCTTCATCTGTAGAACTTGAAGAACCAGTGGCATTTACATCTGCAGAACGTAAAGAACCAGTGGCATCTACATCTGCAGAACGTGAAGAACC